GACATGGAGACGAGAGCGCGTCGTGCGCGGCGTGGACCTCACGGGCCGCGACGGCAACAACCAGCCCTGCACCTTCAAGGACGCGATGGAGGCGGTGCTCCATATCACCTCTTCGAAGACAGACCAGTACAATGTGGGGTGCGTAAGGAATCAATATCAGACAGGCACGTCGCTGCGCCCTGTGGCTGCCCTCCGCCAGCTGGAGCAGCACTACCCACAGAGGCTGCGAGGGAGCGAGGAGGATCCCCCGCTCTTCCGCTGGGCGAGCGGAGCACCCATCCGCCGCGAGGAGGTGCAACACTACCTGGCGATCGCGGGGCTGGCCGCGGGGCCGAGGAAGGAGGGCTTCGGCTCGCACGGCCTCCGCATCGGAGGCGAGACAGCGATGTGCCACGCCGTGGACGACCTGCAGCGCGTCAAGCGCTTCGGGCGCTGGGCCTCCGACAGCTTCCACGGGGACCTGCGGGAGAGCCACGAGCCCATGCGCGGCATCTCGACCGACGTGGCGACAGACACGTCCGAGCTCACGGCGCCGCCGGCCCACGCGGCCGAAGGCGAGCGCCGCGCGGGCAGGAGCCCGACCCCGCTGTGGCCCAGAGCGGCGCTGGCCGTGACGACGCTCGCCGCTACGGCTGGCAGCGCAGACGGCTACGTGATCAAGGTCGACCCGGCGGAGAGCCAGAACCTGCTGATCTTCGTGCTCCCGGTCGGCTTGGGGGCTTGGGCGATGGCAGCGGGAGTGCTGCTGGCAGCGGTGCTGCTAGGCACTGCGTGGCAGTACAGGCAGCAGCGAAGGCGCGGAGGGGCGGCCAGCGAGCGCGGCAGCAACCGCAGAGCCCGCATCCCCCGCGCAGGCATGCTGTGTGCAGCGCTGGTGGCGACAGTGCTCACGACGGCAGCCGGGGAGATACAGAGCCAGGAAGTGGCAGCAGTCGACAGCAGGGCCCAGGGGGCCACGCTTCGCTGGGAGCCGCAGATGGGCACGGCGGCGGTCGTCTTCCCAGTGGAGACGGCGCTGAAAGTGGTGGCCACGATCGCAGTGCTGCTTGCGGCGGGCATCGGGGTGCTCGGCTGCTGCTGCTGCGGGATGGCCAAGAAGAACGAGGAGAGGCCGGAGCCAGAAGCACAGCAGGCCACAGCGCAGCAGACGCCGAAGGCGCACAAGCCTCCCAAGCAGCCGCAGAGGACGCACTGCGACGCAGGGGTGATGGGCCCGGTGCACTACAACGGCGTGAGGTACGTGCACGAGACCCAGGGCTTCCGCCGGGCCAACGAAGCGACGCGGGAGGTGGCCCCGTCAGGGCACCGCAGGTCGCCAGAATGGCCCCGTGGAGGGGAGCAGAGGCCGCATCGTGACTAAGGTGCGGGGCTGCCGCCGGCCAGCAGCCGAGCGGGCAGCGGTGGACCGCCGCCGGCAACCGCCGCGCGGGCGGCCGCGCGGCGCCAGCTGAGTTCAGCCTGGCGCTCGCGATCAACTTCGCACTTGCGAACAAGCTGGGCGCGCGCTGCGGCCGCTGCTGCCCGTGGGCAGGCGCCGCGCCGGCCTGGCACCCGGCAGCGCCGTCATGGGGGCGGCAGTGGCGGCTACGAGGGGGCGCCGGCGGCTAGCCCAGCCAGGGCTGCCGCACAGGGCGCAGGAGGAACCACCGCCGCCGGCACCCGCCGTGCGAGCGGCCGCGCGACGCCGGCTGAGCTCAGCCTGGCGCTCGCGCTCAGCTTTGCGCTTGCGAGCAGCCGGGCGCGGCGCGGCAGCAGCTGGCGCCTGAGGGCAAGAGCGCCGCGCCGGCCCGGCAACCGGCAGCGCCGTCGTGGGGGACGGCGGTGGCGGCTACGTGGGGAGCCGGCGGCCAGCCCAGGGCTGCCGCCTAGGGCGCACGAAGAACCACCGCAGGCGCCGGCGGCGTGCCGCCCTGCGCCTGCGGGCCCACCTTGCTGGGCAGACGCGGCAACGTGCCGCAGATGCCGGGGCTGTTCTACGCCGACAAGGTCGGCGACTACGCGACCCACTACAGCCAGTTCGGCGTGGTGGTGCGCTCGCAGGGGGAGGGGGGCGGCGTGGCCCGCTGCGCGCGGCCGAAGACGGCGCTGGCGCGTGGAGCGCCGGGCGCCGGCACAGAGGTGCAGCACTGCCCCTTTGGCAAAAGGTCGTCGTCATCATCTGAGGTCGCGCCCGTCCCTCTACCCCCCCTCTTGAGCCCCGCCTACTAGGCTCAAGAGGTTTTCGTTTACCAGTGTTGCTTGAGGGGATATCTAGGATGTTTGGTAAAACTGATGGATCTCCCCGCTTCCAGAACTGGCGCGGGCTTCCACTTGTGGTTCCCTTGCTCCTGCCCTTGCCTCTTTGCTTGCCCTTTCTCTCTCCCTCTCTCTTCGCAGCCGCTTGGCGGCTCAAGCCTTTTCAAGGCCAAGCTGGCCCACCCTGGGAGCCCCGCAGGGCTCCCTACCCGCCCCTTTTCTGGACTTTTACAGCGCCGCCGAGGCGCTAGAGTGCCTCGGCGGCGGCGTGGCCCGCCGCGCGTGGCCGAAGACGGCGCCGGCGCGCGGGGCGCCGGGCGCCGGCACAGAGGTGCAGCACTGCCCCTTTGGCAAAAGGTCGTCGTCATCATCTGAGGTCGCGTCCGTCCCTCTCCCTCCCCTCTTGAGCCTCGCCTACTAGACTCAAGAGGTTTTAGTTTACCAGTGCTGCTTGAGGGGATATCCTCCACATCATCCTCCATATCCTCGTCCTCTTCCTCCAAATCTTTTTGTTGACTGTGAGTGTGGGAATACGGGCGCGTGAGAAAATGAGTCTGTGCGAGCGGGGGGTGGGGTTGGGACGGCCGGCACATGAAAGCGAAAGCGCGTGCGTGCGTACGCGTGAACAATGAAGATAACGACGGCGACGGTGATGGCACGCGTGTGAAAGCGTCTCAGCATGGGCGCGTGACCATGCGAGTACGCGGAGGCGTGACTGTGTAGCGCGGGAGGGTGAAGGCGTAGCTGCGTGAGTGTGCGGGATGCGCGCGTTCGCGTGCGAACTCGGGCGTACAGGAATGTGATTGCGCGCATGTGCGTGGGACACGACGACGACGGTGATGGCGATGGCGCGCGCACGTGAGTACGACTGCATGTTAATGCGAACGTGCGCGTCTGTGTGTCTCTGTGCACGCGCGGGAGCGCGGCGCCTGAAAAAGTGAGCGCGCGCGCGTGCGCGAGCGTCGAAAGACGGTCGAGTGAAATTGCGAGTGCGCACGTGAGCGCGGGAAACGATTACAATGCGAGTGTGAGCGCGCGCGCGTGGGGCTGCGTTCTCTTCACCAAATTCGGACGCCCTGTCGCTGCGCGCGGGGCCGTGACGCCAAAAAACTGCGCGCGCGCGTGTTCGTGCGCGTGCGATTGCAAGCGCGGGCGCGCGATAGCTAGCGTTCGCGAAACATGATAACGACGATGGCGATGATGGTGATGATGAAAATGATGATGATGATGATGATGATGATGATGATGATGATGATGATGATGATGATGATGATGATGATGATGATGATGATGATGACGGTGATGATGATGATGATGACGATGACGTTGATGATGACGATGACGTTGATGATGATGATGAGGATGATAAATGATGATGAGTGAGGGTGATGGTGATCGGGCGGTATCCTGGCAACGACACGCCGCCGTATATCAATGCAACGAAGGGTCGACCATTCACGGCAGCCCGCGTGCGCCGAGCCACGGCCCCGCGTCGGCGTCCTGCGCGGCCGCTAGCAGAAGCTCGCCGAGGCGCGACGTGAGGGCGGCGGAAGCCCTCGCGGACAGCTGCTTCGGGAATTCAATTGCGAGGCTCGGGGGGACGTGAGACTCGGGCTCGCGGGCCTCAGGACGTGAGACTCGGGCTCGCAGACTGAGACGGGGCCATCGCGAAAATGACGATGGTCCCGTCTGAAATTTGACGCGAACTCCCGCTGCAAACATCAAATAGAAACTGGACCCTCAAAATCCGAGACGGGACCGTGGAAAAGCATCGGCAAATCCGAATTGCGGCGTACTCGCGTCATACGTTTCCCCGACCGGTGGCCCGCGGGCTCGCCAAAGAGGACGGCAGCGCGCCGGGCTGCGGCGGCGATGTCCGCGACAAAACGCTGCGCTGCAGGCCCGAGCCTGCTCTCGTTCTCCACCTTGAACGGGACGACCGCCTCGCCGTACCGGTCCTTCTTGCGCTTCTCCGCGTTGCGGGCCTCGTGGCAAATGATACGCGCTGCTGGGCACGACTCGCCGGGCAAGCGCACGGTGGCGTCCACCCACGTCGCTGCAGGCAAGCCTGACCAGCTAACGACGAAGTCGGGCCATGCCTCGGTGATCTCACCACTGGCCTCCCGGCACAGCTCCAGCACGCAGTACTCCGATGGTGATGGTGATGGTGATGGTGATGGTGATGGTGATGGTGATGGTGATGGTGATGGTGATGGTGATGGTGTGCGCGCGTGAGTGTGAGTGCATGTCAATGCAAGTGCATGCGCGATTGATCGTGTGGCGTGTGCAAGATTGAAAGCGTGAGTGTGTGAGCGTGGAGGGCGGTGCTGTAAAAGTGTGAGTGCGTGCGTGCGCATGGCAAGTAATGATGATGCGAGTCTGAGTGGGAGCGTGAGTGGGTGTGCGTGAGTGCGAACGCGTAAAAGTGCGAGTGTGCGAGTGTGTGAGTGTGGGCGTGTGAAAGAGTAAGTGCGTGAGCGCGAGAGTGCGTGGGAGCGTGCGCGTGAGAGTGTGAGTGCGGGAATGTGCGCGGGAAGTGATATTGGAAATGATTGTGCTGCAGTCTCCCAACTCCCCGTCCTCCTCGCCCTGCCACACCACGATCCAGGAACCCAACCGATCAACCGATGAGCCCACGCCCACCTGAACGGAGAGTCCAACTCGTGTGCTGGAAACCAATGGATACACCGATAAACCGACAAGCCAGTATGCATCTGAACTGAGAGCCAAACTCTAGAGCGATGGGTGCTGGTTTACCGGTTTATCGGTGAACTGGTTGCTCCGTCAAACTGTTTTCTGACAGCAGCTAGAAGCTGCAGCCAGTCGCCGCAGCTGATCGCCACCAGTCGTCGCTAGAGGTAGTGACGACATGATGGTCTTGATACACACGCACAGTACGCATGGAGGAAGGAACGGCCTACGGTCCACACGCAGGTGGCCCCAAAGAAGCGGCGCAGGGGCGCCGAGAGTTGGCCATGAGAAGGAAGACGAGCAGGGCTGGCAGATTGCAGCGTAGACCAGCTCAGGCCCGCTTTCTAAGATTAAAACGAAGGAGGGCGGAGCGATGGGGAAACAACATCTTGAAGGCCCCTGTGCACGATTGAGATCTGGGAGGCCAAATGAAATGACGATTGTAGAACTACCCAACCAGATTGAGCCAGATTGGTATGGTTAAGCCGGACCAGGAACGATTCAGCTGGGCCGGCCCGCGCAAGCAAGTGCCAGAGTCGATGATGAAGGCAGTCTCCCAGGAACTAGCCCCATCGGAGGACTGGGACGTCCAAGAGGGGGGCCAGCGCATCCTGAGACGAGACATGTGCGCGGCCGAGGGGGGGAGCCGGGGAGCGTATCCAAATTAGAAGAGGCATGAAACGTGCGAGACACCATGGCACCTGCCAGGTTCACTCCCCTAGTCCTCCTCGTCCTCCTCGTCCTCCTCGTCCTGGTCGTCCTCCTCCTCCTCCTCCTCCTCCTCCTCCTCCTCCTCCTCCTCCTCCTCCTCCTCCTCCGCCGCCGCCGCCGCCGCCGCCGCCGCCGCAGCCTCTGCCTCCGCCTCCGCCTCCGCCACCGCCTCCTCGCCGTCCTCCTCCTCCTCCTCCTC